AATGAAAAGTGACTTAGTCCGGAGATCTTAAACTAGGAGCACTTGTGTGTCTCAGAAAGATGCTGGCAATGTCTAGAGAGATTTTTGGTGTCATGGTTTAGTGTGTGGTTACTAATAGATAACACCAGTGATGCTGTTTAGCAAAATACAACCTACTGGGCAGCTCCTCACAAGAAAGAATTCTATGGCCCAAACTATCAGTATGGGCTTTTGAGAAGCCCTGCCTAAACTGACCCTGGCCTGGCGGTTTCTATTCTTGGTGTTTATTTCTTGCCCTCACTTGGTATCTTTAGCTGGCTATGCTCTGTACTTGTTATGTTCACCCTTCCTTCATTAAAAATATTTATTTCCTAATCCGTTAATTAGGAGATGTGAATTTTCTACTTTTCTCTTGTTTTGCCTGCCATAAATTTAACCAACTGTGTACTTCAAGTTGCTTGTATTAGAGCTAGTTTTTGCTAACTCCTGAGAGCGGGTTCTGGGCATTCAGTGGTGTCACACGTGTAACTTGAAATTCGCCAAAATGGCAGTATTTATACCACATAGCCTGGCAAATGCTACAAATCTGAGCTCTCTGTTCTCCCCGTTACCCCCGAGCTAACCTGCCACTAAATGAACTCTCTTGGCCTGCTGTCACCCAAGCACAGCTTTGGAAAGAATCACAGGCAAGAAATTCAAATAAGGATGTTGCAGTAGTTGTAGCATCTTAGCCTGGGATATCTTACATGTTGTCAACTATTAAAGCATTAGTATTCAGAGCTTCATTGTACCTTTCAGTTCCCATTCTTTAGTTTGTTTCTGAGTCTTAGAAAGCTTCCCAATTGAAATGAATGAACAGATCTTTGTATGTGTTCTTACAGGAAGCGGTTTGACAGGGCTGAGGCTGAGTACATTACAGCAAAGTTGGATTTACAGCGCAAAACCGAGACAAAAGAACAGCTCACTGAACACCTCTGTACCATCATCCAGCAGAACGAGCTGCGGAAGGCCAAGAAGCTGGAGGAGCTGATGCAGCAGCTGGACGTACAGGCTGATGAGGAGGCTTTGGAACTGGAGCTGGAGGTTGAACAGTTGCTTCAAGAACAGGAAGCAGAGGCAGGCAAACAAGTGCTGCCTGTAGAGAGGCACTGTCAGCCTGCTGTGGAGAGTGTGTCTGCGGGGGTGGCTGGCGAGAACAAAGAGCCTCAAGAGCAAGCTGCTTCTCCAGAGGCCGACAAGCTGGGCAAGCATTCCAGCCGCCCTCCCCTTAGACCCGACTGCCCAGGTCAGGGAGCCAAGAACTTTTCAGCTGCTGTGGCCACATGAGGGGCTGCTGTTGGTTCAGTTAGCATCTCTCTGCAGTCAGTTACAGCCTATCTCGGATAGAAGTTCTTTAAAGCTGTTTGTGTTTGAATCCATGCTTAGTGTTAGTATGTCAACATGTCTGGTCATTCCAAGTCACAGGTCATGACACTTTCTTAGCTAGGGAGTCTTGACTCCTCAGTGTTCCTTCAGTCTTTCTCACTGAGTTAAAATAAGTGACTCAAAGGATGGGCGAGCCTGAGACCCTGGACTTGATCTCCAGCACTACAAAACGAACAAAACAGTAGAAGAAAACTACATAGCTAGAGTGTTAGAGCAGGCAAATTCAGAAAAGCAGAGTGAGAGGTGATGGTCCTCAATACTGGACCAAACTTAACTTGGGAGGAAGTATTGAAACTGCGTGGTCTATTTTATGCAGTCGTTAAAAAGACAAAAATTACCATGTACAGAGAGAGGAGAAGAGAAAACCAGATTAAATTACCTCTCTGAACTATTAATTAAATTACCTCTCTGGATACTGTTAGAGTGACTAAATACAACTTGGAAATCACAGCTTATGTAAGGAACTAGACAATTTAAGCCAACATTATTTCCCCTTTAATTTGCCAGTAAATGGTTTCTTGTTTGCACTTGAATTTTGGTTAGTTGATACACATCTGTAAACAAACTGTGTATGTGTAATTTGCTTTTGCCATATTCTGTTTTCCTCAATCAATGAATTGACAGGTAAAATTTAGACAATGAAAGTGTTTCTAAAGAGAATATGAAAATGGAAAATCTTATTGTCACTTGATTATCCAACAGTGATGTATTCCCTCCCTAAAAGTCTGTAACATGGGCATTTTATATGTTGAGTATTAATTATCCTATCATAAAGCATTTAAATTGTTGAAGTATTCATTGTCTTAGTACTGTTATAGTTTGTTGAGTTTCTATTCCCTAATACTTGACCACTACATTATGCTATGTGTGAATGTATATATAAATATTTTAGTTTTGCCACAAAATATACCAATATTATCATAAATTATGATCTATTTATCAGAAATTACAAAAATAAAAAATGTTTTCAGTCATAAAAAGGAAGATAATGACAGTTATATCCATAATACATTATAGAAAAGTTGAGGACATCCTATTTTTAAATTGTTTTTTAAGGTATTATCTTCTGATAATAAGGGTGCTTTGTATTTTTCTATGACCTAAGTTGCAAATATAATTTTCCATTACTGACTTTTAAACACAAACATTTACTTAGATAGTATTATTTTTATTTATGAATGACATACATAAAAATTTAAAACTTCATTGCCCAATACAGTCTTATTTTTCTACGGAATAAACAAGTCTGATGTGTTTACAGTATGGTCTTTGATTTACCTTTAAAAAAGCTTCAAACCTTTTTAATATGTGTTAAATAGCATGTGTGTGTAACACAGACTCACAGAAGAAATGTGCTGCCTACCACACCTGGCACAGCTCTATGCTTCTGTGATATTTTCTACCTATCTCTACCCATAAGGTTCACTGCATCCACCTCCTAACAATTTTGCTTTATAACTTCATTGTGTGGTTGTGTGTATGTGTGTGAAATGCTTTCAAATGTGTGCTATAAAAAGTTCCATTGAAAGCATTACTTTGACAAAGCATTGTCTCACAGAGCTTTCCTAGGGTGGTATCCGAGTGCTCAGGTGATGATATGAGTGACAAAATTATATTGCATAAGTTTTATGCAAAGCCAGCTGTGGCCCATGTGTGCAAGGATCCAGAGCAAGTGAGTGAGAACTGGAGGTTCCTGATGGGAGGACCATCTGTACTGATTTCCCAGGATAGCCCTGGAACACATCCTTTAAAATATGCTTGCTCAGCTTTGCTCTATAAATTCACAAGTACATTTCTGAGAAGGATATTAGCCCCAAATTACTGATCATCATTCTGCTTGTCTAGTTAAGAAGCAGTGTTAAGCTGCACTTATCGGGGAGCATAATTTTGTTTTAAACTTGAATTTAAAGTGTTCCTAAAAAACTCCATTCCTGGCCACTACTTTTTGTTTTCAACTGGAGCCATGTCTGTGGGTTTTGGAGAAGCAGACTTCCCTTTAAGAACAATTCTCATTGCACTGAAAATAGCTTTTTTTTCCCCTAAGAATTTTCACCTCTGCATAATTCTGCTGAATTACAGCGCTTGCAGGTGGTAAATCTGTTCTCAGAAGAGCACAGCTGGTTTGCAAGTCATGATAAAAATCTCCGATTGGAATTCCGAGAGATTTCATTGCTGACTGGTATTTGAGTTACAGAGCAGAAACTCAGCTAGAAGCAAGCCCTCTCATTCTTTGTTTGGAGTTAGCAATGGAGTCCTCTCCAGGAGCTTATCTAACTACTCAGCCAATTCCTCTTTCGTGGCATTGGCACAAGCCAACTCTAGTTATTCTGACCCAGGCCATTCCCAGTGACCTTTATAAATGATGTTTGGGGTTTTGTATTTCTAAGGAGCCAAGTCAGCATTTTAAGAGGCCTTGATAGATATAACTCAGTCTGCTAGACACGACCTGAGGCCCCTCTGGCCCAGGGTAATTATACCTCCACTCAACATAGATCTACCCCAGGCCTGACTTGAACTATTCTCTGGAGAGATGAAGCAGAGTGCTGCTCCCAGGTTGCCTTTATCCTAATGTGAGGTTACTTTTGCAAGATCCTAATCCCAAGCAGCTGTCTTCAAAATGCAATGTCATCTTTGCAGTTGATCAAACAGCTGCATGTAGCTACTCCTACAGATGTGCTGTTGAAGAGGTATATGACCTGTGCCCCTTTTCCCTAAGCTTATGGTCTAGTTAAGGGAGTATGATTAACATCTGTAAAAGCTGATGCAAAGTATCTTTAATGGAAAGTAAAATAACTGGGTGGAATATTGAACATGGATAATCCTTGTGCCTTTAAATATTCTATCTAGTTATTCTGGCGTTCTATGGGTATGACCAAGAACTACTACATTTTTACTTCACTGTTAGCACTAAAATAAAACATCCATATTAGACAATGGTCTGATTAGAGGTTTTTTTTGTCTAGTTACCAATGTAAGAGTAAACTACAAGGAAGGGCGGTGGGGGGGGATAGATGCCATGGATTGAAAGTTAGACAACTCACTTTGGTGACCAGTGCAAATCCTCAACTACTAGAGGAAATAAGGACAGATTGTTATGACAAAATTGATGGTGTTGTATCTCCCTATAATGGAAATAACGTGAGTATAAGAGCTCACTACAATGGTTGAATGTGTTGTCAAACTAAGGGGCAGTAATTATTGCATAAGCCAGAACAAGATGGAGATGGAAAAGTGAGAAATGCAGGGTAACTCAACACGGAGCCTTGTTCAAAGATCACACGTCAGAGGTCTTTCCAAGCCGAATGACTCCAGGGGCCTAAAATAGAGACAGAATTAAGCAATAAGATGTGACAGGGCTAACATTTCTCGGTGATTGTGGAATGCCTTGAGGGCTACATCCCTAGGTCAAAGGTTCATAGAAGGGTGAAGTAACCCTTCGAGGTCCAGTGCACTGCCCTTGTAGGGAGGAGAAAATGAGTAATGGGAGTTAGAAAATTCTGTCATTGCATGAGCTATTACTTCAGACATTGGGTAATAATGTCATGTGTACAGTACATGTGGCCATTAGTTCCATCCGGCTTTCTGAAGCTACACCAGAGGCTTCTCTTAAAAACTCCAAAGAAATTGGCAATCTTACTTAGCCAAGTAAAAACTAAACAGTTCAGTCACAACCTTGAGAACCTACAAACATAGATCTGGAGCTACAGTCTGCTAGGATTATGATGAGTTGCTTAGGCCTGGGCTTTATTGTTGAGGTGGGGGTGGGGTGCTGAAGGAGCCACCCTGAGTCATTTTCCATATGTTGGCTCATTTACTTCATGTGCTGTTCTGTCCCTCAGACAAGCCCTCTGTGCCACTGTGATCCACAAACATCTTTGAGCCTTTTAACTTAAGCTTTCTCTGCTCTACCATTGTGCTACTCAAAGAACCTGGGAGGGCCCCTGGATCCAGAGGCCAGCTAGACTCCACCCTATGTTGGGGACAGGTCTTTAATCAAGATAAGAGGTGAGATACTCAGAACCATCAGGTAGGGCAAGAAATATCCAAGTGAAAGGAACTCAAGAAGGCCCCGCAGATGGAAGCTGGAGTTCTGGCTGGACTCCGAGTTGTACCACTTCAGAAGATAGTAAAAGTGGGTGAAACTAGTTTGTGTGCCTTGATGTCTCTCAAGGCACAAAGCCCTGTCCTAAAACGTAAGTCAGAGCAAACAGTGGCTTCTCAGGGCCCAGACCCTTTTCAGGTGATAGGTTTTCATTCTTAAAATTTGTTTGTAGGAAAAGATCTGAAGGCAGTGTAGGGAAATCCAAACTTTTCATCTAAAGCTTCCCTGACTTTAGGGATTGGGGGAGTGGTGAGTGAGCGGAGTTTTTCAACAGTTGCACCACGTAGCTCTGCCTGGCCTAAAACTTGCTAAATCTACCAGGCCGGCCTTGAACTTGAACTACCTGCCTCAGACTTCCAATAGCTGGGATTATGTGCAAGAACCAGTATACTGGGCTACACTTCGGTCATTTTCATCTACGAAGTAAAATAGCAGTAGACAGATGAACAGGAAATACAGAGTTTACCGACATAGAAACACAGGAGACTTATATAGAATGGCACCCAAGAGGACAGGTAGTTGATGGTGGGATGCTTTTTATGGAGAAGGGAAAGTAGTGTGTTGGCAATTTTAGGAGAAGAGTAAATCATTTTTGTTTTGTTTTTCAAGACAGGACTTCTCTGTGTAGCTTTGGTGCCTGTCCTAGATCTCACTCTGTAGACCAGGCTGGCCTTGAACTCAGATCTGCCTGACTCTGTCTTCTGAGTGCTGGGATTAAGGACGTGTGCCACCAATGCCCGGCATAAATCATTTTTAGTAAAACAAATAGACTCAGAAAAGCAGACAGTGGCTTGGAATGAGACTCTTCTGGACTCTACATGATGTTAACTTTTTTCTTCCTGTAATATGAGATTGGCAACGAAATTCTAGAAAGGACACTACAGACATTTGTGTTCCTCTTTGGGTAGAATTTGATTGGGTCGATGAGAAAAAGGAGAACCCCTCTCCCTGTGCTTATGAGTGGAGGTAAAGAGACAGACAAGAAACTGACTCTGAGGCAGCTTGTAGGGGTCAGGAGGATGCCAAAGCATCAATTTTCTGAGGTCCTGGTCTTGAAGAAACTTTGATAACAGTAGGTCACTTCACCACGAGTAGCTGGAGAAGTACTCAGTACAGACTTGCAGGTCCAACAAGCTCAAATTGCTACTCAGAGTTAAACTACTTAAACTACTTTTCCAGACTTGCACAACATTCAGTATTTGCTAGGGTCTGCGTCTTAAGGCTGCTGGCTTGGTTTTGAGCCAGGATCCTGGTGAGTATCCCAAGCTTTCCTTCAGCCTAGGATTTTCCTGATGCCACCTGCCTCTCAGTTCTGAACGTGTGTCATTGTCCCCAGCTCCAGTGTGATTATTATCTGTCCAGTCTAGTACAAGGGATCATTGGCCCTTAGTCCCCAATCCTTAGGAATACTATTAGCATACCTGCCAAACTTGGATTCTCCAGCTCTGCTTTCTTTCAGCCACCTCTGTCTCTGAGGGCCATTGAGAATATTATGCACTCCCTCATCTCCCTGGGATCATGAGAATTTTCTAAAGTCGACTCAGCCCCTTCGGTCTGTATATACCAGGCAGTTTCTCTGCAGAATACCAGGTATAGGGATCTCTGAGGCTTGCCACCTTCTGGATCCCAACTAAGAAATAAAGCACTAAGTATTGAAAAACCCCACACCCCCTCCAAAGCTTAGCCAGAGGAAGGG